CTAGAAAAGACACATCCCATTCAATATTTTGCCAATTTAGTCAGTTGCAACTTTTGACACTATTTTGTTTAGAATACACTTCTTGGTGATTAGTCAAAACATAAGCTGTAAACTTTGCAATGTGAGCTATTTTGAACAAGAGTTGATTGCAATTTGTAATTAGACTAAACCTCAAGGTTATCTTTCATAACAACCTCGTTTTGAAACTATGAACAGGCACATAGTAAAATTGTTTGCATGAATGCATATCATAAATCATACCTGCCGAGCCCTTTTCTTCAGTAACGAAAGGCACATCAAACAAACTGCTAGATCTGGTCTCACGAGTCTTGCTAGAAATTCCACTTCCCTTCCGCTTGCTTTTCAGGGCATCATCACACGAAAATTCATTGCTATCAGAGTTTTTTTCATTTGATTCTTTAGTTTCCAACAAAGAATCTCCATTTGAGCTTGTCATTTTTTTGTTATCATGAACATACAACATTCCAGTACTACACAAAGCTTTCGACAAAGTACGTCTCTTGTTTTTCTTTCTCAAGATATCTTGATTATTAACAATTTTGGACATTTTTCTCTTGCGCAACAATGGCGCTTTCATTCCCAAGTCCCTGAGCCCTCTTGTACGTCTCGACACATTTTCTTCCAGGTCATTCATACCTCTTGATTCATCCTTGCTGCCCGAACCTGAATCATCTCCCAAACTACTCAAATTCTCGTCAGAATTTTCACTTTCTTCACTCGGATAAGATGCTGAAGGCGATGCATGGTCAGCATGGTTTTTGTCAAGACGAGCACCTTCGAGCTCAAGCTCCAGCATGTGAAGAATATCTTCGTCTTTTTTAGCATATTTGAATGACTTCAATTTCTTGATGCATTTATCATGGTCCTCATAATGAAATGCTTTCACCCTTTTTGATTTCCCAAGATTATACCAGCCCCTGGACGAGCATCAGCAAGGAGTTAAAAAACTTAAAAAATTATTTCTTTTTTCAAGGGGGAAAATTAATATGTTTCGGATATCCAAGAGCTCAAGAGAATGAAAAGGCATAGAACAATCATGATACTGCAATTATCAAAAGGTTCCATAGAACTAATACCCAATATAACTAATTAACAGATGTAGCAAGAATTTATTAGATGAGTATAATGCAGTTTTGAACAACAGTGTCTGCACAGAAGGTTAACCATAACTTTACCGAAAATTCATATTTTCAGGAGCCGAGAATGGCGGTTTTCACAGAAAGCCTTTATTTATCTGTGATTTTCTCTGTATGGTTATTTGCTTGTTAAACTGTCGTTCCATTACAAGGAGTGCATAACTATCACTCAACTTTTTCCTCTTTTAAGAAATAAATGGCAGACAAAAGAGAAATTAAGTATATTGTCTTAAATACTTCCCAAATGGAGAGCAAGTGAAATTACAAAACTGCCAATCAACCGAATCAGATACCAAAATAAAGTTGTTCTTCTTCATTTTAATGATTTTACCAAATATTAACCACACAGATCGAATATGTGTCACCAATCACAAAAGGCCATAAAAAGTGAGTTTTGTTGGCGTAAAGCGTAAGACAAAGTCATCATGCAAGCCAAAACTTGCCTAACAAAAACATAAATTCTGCTTTGTTCATTACATTACAGATACTAGCTGTCACCTTATGTAGCAATTGTGTGCTCATCCTTGTAATTCCTTCTACATTATCATGAAAAAAAAAAAAAGCAATGTTTTGGCTAGCCATTAAATTTCCTATGCTAATGAGCAAGGATTGGATGGGATGGAACAAGAAAGTTCTTAACTTTTCTAACTTGATCATCACTAGCATAAATCAGTTACGTGAGACACAAACCTTAACTTCCAAACGAACCACTACTTCCAGTGAGAAATGTTCTGGCAAAGGAAAACTTAATCACTCACATAATAAGAAATAAAGCAATTTCAGAATTCATGTCCTCTATTATACAGAACCTACATGGATACCTTTGCGTGCGCGAGTAAACAATAATGGTATAACATGCATGTTTTCTAGAAAAATATATTAATTTTTTTTGCATTAACCGAGATTAAGAAAACCAGATTCAGACAACTTGGTAAATGGTGGTAAGGGCATAATTATATATTTCAGAATTCTAACACCAGCTCTTGCTCTTTCAAGTAACTCAGAAATTGACAAAACCTCGGAAAAAGATAGGTCGTATCGTGCAACTATCAAGTTATGATTCCAACTATAATGGAAACAAACTAAAGGACCTAGATACCAAAATGACAATTGTCACACTAACTAAACACCAACCACAAAAATAAATCAATTAGAAATGGGAAACGTTCATGATTTCATGAACCTGTAATGTTATCCCCGTGTGCAACTCTAGGTAGCCATATAAAATCAACTCAGATTTCAATAATCGATAATATGTTCCATTTGCCGCTGTTGTATACTAGACGAACACACATTTATTACAATGACGTCAATTCGTACACGTGACACTCACGTGCTACGGAACACATCGTATAACACGTCATCAAAACCACATGCTAACCTTATGTTCGAAGAAACAAATTATAAATTCTCTGCTCGGTAAAGAAATAAATATGAAACGACTAGAACCTTGTACTTACACACTCGAACCCTCTTTACCAAGAAGCTTGACAGGAGTCCCTGATCTTAGTGAAGGCACAGAGCCCTCAGGCAGCACATCCGGGTCGAGAATCTTGCCCGGCCACCACAACCCGTTTCTCTGGCGGACCCAAATCAACTCTCCCACTGATCCATTAATGCCCTTGTTAGGGCCTTCGCCAGAACTGGCCATTCACAAGCCAAAACTGAAAACAACAAAAGGGTTCTGTTTTTTTAAACCCTCAGTTCTTTTTTTCCCCTTTCAAAACCTAACCAAAAAAAATAAATGAAACTAGAAAAAATAAGCTGGATACCTTTCAGCGATAATCAAATTCACGTTATACAGGCACAAAAAAACTCCCCGAAAACCCTATAGCAGCACCATGCATTCCTTTGAGTTAATCAAGGGAAAGATAAAGACAAAGGCCCATCGACATGAAGCTAAAAGGAAGCAGAAATGAAGTAGCCAAAGAAAAACCAAAATCAGATATTGAACCACAAAGCGAAAAGGAAACACACACATACACACTGACACACACACACACACACACACACACACGCACACACACACACACCCAAGGGTGACAGGGTTTATCTAGGGGAGAAGGAGAGGTATAGATCTGGTAAAACAATTTCTGCAAAACATAAAAAAACGTAAACAAAAGTTCTCTGTTTCAGTTTTTATTTCCCCATTATCAAGAATGATCAAAGCCCCTTAATTATTTTATTTTCCACAAGTTCTGGGGAAGGTAAAGTTGCCATCTTTTTTAGCGGTGACATAAAACATACAGTGGATTTTTCGAATTTTTGTTCATCAACAACGGATTATCTTCTTGATTCATAGAGTGTAGAAAAATATGGGGAAAGCCTCTGCTCTAATGTGTGGAGTTTCTGCATAAGAAAATTGGGATTGAATTTGGGAAAAACCTTTTTTTTGGCATTTTTTTTTTTTTACACGAACTTTCTAGTTTCTGGTTCCACAGAAAAACCGACTAATTCAGAATCGAGCCGGGTAGGACCATAAAGGCAACAAAACTCTCCCTCAAGTATTTTTAACACTGCTGAAGCAGATACTGCCCTGAGACACAGAGGAGAGAGAATCATGAAATGAAAATAATATGGCAAATTAGTTGAATATTTGAACTGCTTATAGACCCCACATAGGCAAAACTACAAATTTTGCATTTGATTCAGAATAAGTCGCGTTAGATGCCAAAAAACCTCGTAATCTCATTTATGATATTTACTTTATCAAATTTTTGTTTATGCAGTCTTGATTATAATCAACAATCTAAGTATGTTGCAAAAAAAAAAAAAAAAGGCAATATAAGTAAGGATGTTAATGGGTTGGGTCGGGTCGGGTCGGGTACGGATTTTGTCAAACCCGAATTTAACCCGCAATTTATCCTACCCAAACCCGACTCCTTACATGACTAGTGTTTTTGGGTTTGGGTTTGATTTTAACCGACGGGTTAGTGAGTTTTCGCTGGGTAAACTTGTAACCCGAGTTTTAAATTTGGGTTTTACCCGACCCATCTCGTTTCATATGAAAAATAAAATAAAACAATTTCACAATTAATTATAATGCAACAAATAATTTATTAACTAAGTTTGACAATAAAAAACTATAAAGAAAATTATATTATTTTTGGAATAAATAATGAGATATAATTATTTATCTGTTATAGTCTATTTAATAATAAAATACTTAAACATTAAGTATTTAAATTTTTATTGTACAATCAATAAAAAATGACAATAAAATCACAAAAAATAAAATAAAATTTAACCATCAATCAACATCATAATAGATAATATAATTTTTAAAAATAACACATGTCTACTTTTATATTTATAATAAGCTATAAATATATATATGTATATATGTATATATATATATAAGATTCAATGGTTGCGGGTAAACGGGTAGGGTAATCGGGTCGAGTAACAGGTTTTCCTACTATACCTGCATCCAACCTGACCCGACCCGGGGTTCGGGTAGCATAATCCTACCCGAACCCAACCCGAAACCCAATCATCTTGGGTTTACTCGACCCGAAAATGCAAGTAACCCACGGGTAACCCGACCCTACGGATTTTATTGACATCTCTTATATAAAATTAAAATTGTGTATAAGATCATTTTAATTTGTAATTGGTGTTTTGTGTGACTTTTTATTACATCAAAATAAATTACTCATCACTTAGAGTCGTGCGAAAAAAACTTGTTAACATATGGTTCTGAAAATCAAACCGGTAAAGTTATTGGTTCAATAGTTCACTGGTCGGACCAATGGCCAAACCGGTTTAATTAATATAGATTTTTTTTATTTATCATATATGTATATTATATAGTTATATATATTTTTATCATTAATTTTATAATGTATGATATTTCTCTAAATAATAGCTCAATAATAAATACAACCGATAATGTTTAATAAAGTTGATACCTTTTATTTTATTTTTTATGTTTAAAATTTTAGTCCATATTTGAGTTACAAAATAGAGAGAATAGAAACTACACTATTTTTTTTTTTTTTT